AGCTAGTCAGAGATCCTCAGAGCTAGTTAGAGCTCCTCAGAGCTAGTTAGAGCTAGTCAGAGATCCTCAGAGCTAGTTAGAGCTCCTCAGAGCTATTTAGAGTTCCTCAAAGCTAGTCAGAGCTCCTCATATCTCCTCAGAACTCTAGTCAGATCTCCTCAGTGTGACTCACAGTTCCTCAGAGCTCGTTAGAGCTCGTTAGCTGGTCCCTTCTGCAGCTGCTGGCCTCCCCAGAGGCCTCCAGCACAGTTCTGCTGGAAATACCCACAACCACCTCTCTGAAGGTTTCCACAAACACAGAGGAGCAGGAAGCTGTCTTAGAGCTCTCTTTTTGTGCCATTTTCTGTTCATACTTTTTTTTAGATACTTTGGAGGCATTAACCTCAGATCTCCAGGTGGCTCAGCTACATCCAGTCTGCTCCTCAGACCTTGTCAGATCTCCTCAGAACTCCTCATATCTCCTCAGAGTTTAAGTCAGAGCTCTTCATATCTCCTAATATCTCCTCAGAGCTCAGGTCAGATCTACTCAGAGTGACTCACAGCTCCCCAGAGCTCGTTAGAGCTCGTTAGTTGGTCCCCCGTGCAGCTGCTGGCCTCCCCAGTGCACAGTTCTGCTGGATGGACCAAACAACCACCTCTCTGAAGGTTTCCACAAACACTCGAGGAGCAGGAAGCTGTCCTGGAGCTTCAGCCGAGTCTGGACACACAGGTGGGTGCCTTCTGGACGTGTAACTTATCGGGAAGCTGATTAGATACAGGCTTTTTCTCTTAGAGCCTCCAACGGAAATCAATAAAGCGTGGGGCAGGTTAGTCCCCTCCTCATCACCTCTGAGCGGAGGATGGCAGTAAATTCCAGGCGTGGAGCTAATTACTGCGCGTCATAAAGCCGTCCGGGAAGGACGGGATGAAGGGCGGCGGGGAAGGAGAGTGCCACTTAGAAGAATGAACCTGGAAAACAGGAGGAAACATACAAGGCTGGGACATGTGGAGAAACACAGCCACTGGATTTAAGATCTCCCTGAAATTAGAAAAGTCTCTTGACTTGTCTTTTGTATTCAAAGAGCAGACAAGATGGATGGTTTAATTCTTTCTTTTAACCCTCTAATGCCAAATGTGTCATATCTGATCGGGTTTCTTTTGGATGTGAGACTTTCTGCATCATTCAGTGGTAAAAGCTTTGCT